TAGCCAAGCACGAAAGAGAAAATTAGTAAGAGATGTTTCATCAGTAGTATATTACTCCAAAAGATATAGAAAAAACAGATATGAAGTATAATGAAAAATATTGAAAATGAAATAGGTGGGTGGGACTTTCTATCATATGTGGTGGACTTATGAAAAAATGAAAAGATTTTGGAAATTGATATATGCAGAAAAACAAACCAAAAAAACCTTTAAAACTAAGTTTCCTATGAGTCCTAAGAATATGCTTTTGAATATAATGTCAGAGACTTTTTCAAAGATTATGTCAGTGTTGTTTAAATATATGACAACTGCAGCAAGAAATCACCAGAATCCCCAACAATTGAATATTGGAAAAATAAGTTGGCAGAGTACACAGTGAAGGCAAATTAACTAATTATGTAAATAGAAGACCGATTGAAGAATTTAATGACAAACAGAAATTGTATTATATCCAGTAAAAGTGACAGGATGTAAAAGGAAGCTCTTTAAAAAGTAGTTGATTTATAATTGATTTGAAGTGATTGGAAGATTTGTCAGTATACAGAATAATACTTGCCTTTTTTCTGAACTTCCAGAGAATATTGAATGACAGAAAGATATGTGTTTGTTTGAAGCTTTTATATCCTACCCTTTTCAGTCTCTTTGATAGTTGCGCTTGAATGTATTGGTTATATTTGATCAAAATCCTTTGGCAATTTTTATTTTATATGGGTTAGTGTCAGTATTAAAAAAAGAAATATGACTGCCAAATGTAAGAGTCACCTTGCAATAACAGCCCAGAACTCAGGTGGAAAATGTCTGCCTTATGTGTGCAGGGTCACAGATTCTATTTCTGGAATTTGTGAAATGACAGTGGCACGTGCCAGGCCAAATGTCGGGTAATTGCTCCAACATCTGCTGCCTTTCCATGTGAAATGGGTCCGTGTTTAAAGAATCCGAGGTTGCAGGAGATAACCTTCCACTGACACCTTAGTGAGCTGCTGCCAATATTGAGACAAGAGAAGCAAAACTTGAATTCAAACGCTTAATTATGCTTTCAGTGCTTCTGCCAGGGGTCAGAGTTTTTATTTACTTCTAAAACCGACTGTTTATGGTCATGAATTTTTTGCCGTCCACCCTCAGGACAATCTTCTGGTTCAGCTACCTAGGCTACTGAGCACTTGCCACATAGCATCCACACACTGCAAAGGGTAACCTCCAGACATTTGGACGGCACCCGCACTGTTTTATTTATCATTTTATTTATGTATTCAATTTATACGCCACTCAATTAGCCATAGGCTCTCTGGGTGGCTTACAACAAGTACCTGCAGCAATTTAATAAAGTCAACAATTTACAATAAAACCAGTTCACAATAAAATCAATACATCAGTGTTGCACTTGACAGTTCCTTAGAAATGACTCAGTCTTCTCCTGTAACTCCACTTTACAGTGGAGGATTGCAAAAAGTACATAAGCAGTCTTCCAAGTAGCTTGCCAAACACTACTAAGTCTCTAGCTGAGCAACCCCTGATTAGCTCTCAGGAGCTCCAGTCTACTAACACAGGTTTAGGGTTACTTTATGGCAATGCTGCAACCCTAAAATAGAGTGTTGGTTTTTAATGGGGTCTTTCATGAAGAGTGTAGCATCATGTTGCAGCATGTTTTTGGAATGATTACTGGGTGCCAATACAAGCCACTTTCATATGCATTTTTTATCTATGCACATTGCCAAAGTGAGATGTGTTACTTGAGATCTTTATTTCAGCATAGGTATTCAACATACTGCAGTAAAAGCTGCAGCAGTTAGCGGAACTATTAAGGTATGCCCTTGGGGACTGTGTAAAGGATTAAATACATCTCCATGCTCTTGTGGGAGAATCCAACCAAGTTCTAACACAATTAACCTTGCACTGCCTCAGAGGAGTACGCCTGTTCCCAAATGCTGTACCGGATTTGCCTTTAGATCAATGTAATTCAAGACATATGGCTACAGTTCATCTAAAGCACTCGCCCTCATCAATCAGGTCCTAACAAGTAACACAACCAGGTACAGAACTAGGTCTTTGCTGAAACTGGGCATCGTTGTCAGGAAGGGGTGTGTGTACGCAGGATTAGAGTGGTGGGATATCTTATCTCACCATCACCAAATACGCCTTTTTTACCAATGGAACAGACCCCACATCCCTGCAAAAAAGCTTAGTAGAATCATTTTCCTTAAGAATCCTTCAGGAATACATGGGACATGTATTTGGCAGAAGTGACTGAACTATGATTAATCATCTTATTTGCTAGCTGATGGCAGTGCAGTGTATTTTGGAATGCTGTATGGCTAACTTGCAGAGCTTGAGAGAAGTTGAAAATGTTTTCCTTTGATCTAGTAGACTACGTCATAAAAGCAAATGCCAAAAGTCCAACAGGAAGTCTTACCTACCCTTAGGAAGCACCTACACTCCTTAGAAGATTTCAGGCAAGATAAATAAAAGCAACAAGAAAACAAGCAATGTCTAGAGGTTTGCAAAACTGGGAGTGCAGACAAAGCATCCTCAGACTGGGAACAGAGGTAAGGCTGAATCCAGCCACAGTGCAGATTAAGTGAGATAAATTAACCTTGCAGACCCTGCATGCACCAAAAACTGATTTCTTCAGATGGGTTAACAGATGATAATCCTCGCCTTCTATCCCTGCAATTTAAATTCATGATCCCTGCACTTTCCCTATTTTCCTCCTCACAGTGAAGTGAGTGACCCAAGATGAACTGGGCTTAATCTAGCAGTAACAAAGGAAAAACTGGACTGGCTGCTCACCTCCTTGTTGTGAGGGGAGCAGGGAAGGATAGTGCAGGTCTTCTGGAGGCAGTGTCTGAGTCTTCCTGTGTACAAAGTGAGCAGGGAGGAAACAGCACCAGTCTGTATGATGTAAGGACTGCATATCCTTGAACCTCAACCCCTCTTCCTCAACCAGGTTTGCATGACACAATTCTGTCTGGCAACCTCCACCTGGGGAATGCACAGGCACAATGAGAGCCAGCAGATGCTGGCCACCATTATGGACATGCAACAGCCAGTTTTCATGTGGTAGGTTGGCATATTACGTTATGTGAACTCAGCTGGCAGGACTTACTTGAATTGTTTTGTACAAACCAGTCATTATCTCAGCCAGGTCTAAAAGGTGTCCAAGATGAAAGGGAGTCATAAGTTGCAAGTGAACTGAAAGATTTCCCATGTTTGTGTTCAGATTTCCCACATTTGTGTTCATATTTGTACTAATATAAAATATTTGCTAAAAATAAATAAGGGATGATGTTCTGGTATAGAAATACTTAGAAGAAATATTCCCTTTAAATATGAAGTCCCTAAAAAAGTTACGATATGTTTAATATCTCAATGCAGCCCTTAATGTTTTATTTCCATCCCTTTGCTTTCTTTAGTTTGAATGACTGATTAAAGCAGAATTACACGGATTAGCATTTGTCAGTTCAGTCTGTATGATTACATTTGACTCATATGACAGTTCATTTCCAAAATGAAGGGAGCCAGGGCCACACCAGAGGCAGAAGAATAAAGGTTATGAAGAATGATGGAATTTGACTACTGACATTAAACAACTCACATTTTAAAATCTAGTGTAACCAATATGCTGATTACTCACTCCATCAGTCTTAATTGCTATGCTCCACCTTCAACTGGGGCAACTTCTAAGAGAGTGGTTCTAATGTAAAGGTCATCAAATACACCTGCACCTTATTGTTCTATCCTAGGTAACAATGGTATAGAGGTGTGAAAAGAGAAAGGCAAATGGTAATTTTGGCGATGATGAATCTGTAGCAGGAAAAGAACAAATACTTCAGACAGAAGTATCTGAAGTATTGAGCATTGCTGAATGATCTAGCATTGTGCATGTGGATATAGAGGAAAAGAGAGGCTCATCTAGGGATGCATTACAGCAAATCCTTTACAGCAAAAGTGAGTAGAATACAGCTCTCCAGATGTTTGGAACTTTAACTCTGGGAAAATCCTGCCAGTATGGCCAGTGGTCAGGAATGGTGAAGTCTAAAATGTCTGGAGATCTACTTTCTGTACAACCTTAATTTGCAGGACTATATTTCATATCTCTGCTCTTTCAGATTCTATTTTTTTCCTCTCACTCCTCTTTTAAATAGCTTCAGACCTTTACATGACGCTACCTCCACTGTCCTCATTCCTGGAATAACTCTATCTACATTTGTAGCAGATAGTACTACATAATACAAAGGGCGGGCACTGCTTTTGAATGTTTCCCTAGACAACAAATTCTGTGCAAATGGAAAGCTAGCACATCAAAGAGAAAGAGTCTAGCACAACCCTGTTGCATGCTGTGCTGGTTTTCTATTTGCAGAATTTTTTTACAAAGAAGCACTCAAAATTATTATCCCAATAAGAAATTATTATTATTTATCGATTTATATCCTGCCTTTTTCCTACAAAGGGCTCAAGGCAGCTTACATCCTATTACATATTACATAGCCTATTGTACACCTCATTGTGCGGCATAGGCAGATGAAACTCTCTACATGCCACTTGTTCCCCTTTCAGAGAAAATAAATGTGCATATGTGTTGCAGCAATGACAATAGGGGATAGGACAGGGATCCAACTCATTATGAAGAGAATTTGAGCTATGTTTCCACTGCACTTTGCAAGCAAAGCACCTTGCAAGGTCTGAATAAAGACTTTATTAAGCAACCATGTTAAAATGCTTCTGCACAAATACTAAGGTCTTTCAACTTAAGAGGTTAAAGAGCAACAACTAAGAGCATGACTAGAAATAATGCAGAGTATCTGAAAAAACCTTTCAAATTTTAAGAAAAGTAATTCTGAATTTGGTGCATTATGTCCAGCTGCGACATCAGCTTTGGCACAAAGCCTAAGTTGGAGATGACAGGCAAGCTGAGGTAAAGATTGCAAGGTAACAATTACAAGAAAGTGAAAATATTTAGCACTGAAACATCATTTAAATAAAATAACTGCTGTACTTCTTACCACAGGGCAAGGCGCTGCTCTATTTCTTTTAGAAAGTTGGTGTGAAATTTGTGCAAAGGTTCAAAGTTCAGAAAGATGAGTTTCTTCAGTGCTTCTGGCATGCAGTCATCTTTACTCACTGTGCTCTGGAACCACTACACAAACAAAAAAGTAACGAGGCAAATCTTTAGGATCAAATTCTTGACCAGCATCTTTTGCGTGGGACTAAAGGGACATGCAACTGCTTCTCGTTCTCCCTGGAGATACCTGGATTTCATTTTGCTGAGCTTAGTGCCAAAGGGTGCCATACATAATAGAGAAGCAGACACAGCATTCCTCCAAAGCAGTGGAAACAAGCTTGTACATTGGGATGCCCTAGGCATCAGGTCAGCTGACACAAAACAATGCAAAATACCAAGTACCCTGATTTTTCCATCATTCGCTTCCTATACTAAGGATAAAGTGCTTGGTGATTGTTTTTTTGGCTAGAGGGTTTGTTGTGAAAATTATCCAGAGCCAAATTTTACTTGCCTTATATATACAAAACAACTTTTCATGAATTCTGCACATGCATGCAAGTTAGTGGTGAAAGTTCACGCTACAATTCAAAGTTTGATGGTGGTAACACATCAAAGAATGATCTGTCATCATTTTATTTAAAAAGGGGATGGAGGAAGCTGTAGCCTTCCAAATATTGGTGAAAAGCAAGTTGCTTACCTGTAATTGTCATTCTTTGAGTGATCATCTGTGCATTCACACATGTGGGCTTTAGCACCAGTGCAAGGCTAGAAAGAAACTTCTACAGCTTAGTGTCATGGAGTCCACAGGGGCGCTCTGGTCCTTCTAGTTCCTGGTTATAAACAGGGGGCCTCCCACCCAGTGCCTCAGTTGCCCTGGAGACCACATCATCTCCAGGTAGCTGAAAGGCAGAGATGCAGGTACAGTGCTGTGCCCCTCCTTCCCAGCATCTATATCCTGGAGGCAGGGGCAGCCAGTTGACAACAGCCAGTGCAGCAGATGGTGAGTTGTGTAAAGGCATGCATGACCACTCAAAGAACGACAATTACAGGTAAACAACCTGCCTTTCTTCTTCGTGGTCTCTGTGCATCACACATGCAGATGAGTAGGAAGTTTAACCTTCGCAGGATGGAGCGGCTGTCATCCCTGGAGAATCAACGAGAGGACTGCCCTGCCAAAGGCACAGTCCAGTCTTGCATGGACATTGAGTCAGTAGTGCCGGACAAAGGCTGATGGTGCAGACCACGTGGCAGTTCGGCAGATGTCATGCAGCGGAGTATCAGCTAGAAGGGCAGTTGACGTGCCCTGTTCATGGGTGGGGTGTGCCCTTGGGTGCACGGTGAGCTCGAGTCTTGCTATCTCATATGCTAGTGGATACCCACTTGGAGAGTCTCTGGAAAGAGATGGACTCTCCCTTCCTCTGACTCTCACGGCACATGAAGAGGCAGTTTGAGCGGTGGAATGGCTGTGTTCGTGACCTGTAGAATGCAAGGGCCCTGCAGGCATTAAGCAGGTATACTGTGGCCTCGATGGGCTTAGGAAAGAAGGCCAGGAGGACAATGTTCTGGTTGATGAAGAAGGCAGAGTAACCTTGAGTTTGAACTGCGGGTCATAATGGTCCATGACCTTGTCCCTGTGGAAGGTCAGGTAGGGCTCATCAATTTGCAGCACCAATAGCTCACTGGTGTGGTGGGCAGACATGATGGCCACCAGGAACATCATCTTCCATGATAGGAGTCATAGGTCCATCGTCACCATAGGTTCAAATGGCCTTTTGGTGAGGGACTGAAGGACCACCGAGAGGCTCCATGATGGTCTGCAAGGGTGGGCTGGTGGGCAATGTTTTGTAGCCCATGTAGGTACCTGTGAGCCAGGGTGTGTATGAAAACCAAGGACCCTTGAATTGGGGTGTGGAAATGTGAGATAGCCACCAGGTGCACCTGCAGTGGGGATGGGACGAAATCTGCACTAAAGCAGGTTTGTAGGTAGGTGAGACAAGCTCTAAGGATGTCTTGGAAGGTTCAGGCCCCATCAACCTGGTGACGGTCATGAAGGCTCACCATCTGACCAGGTAGGCCTCGCAAGTGGAGGGCCTAAGGGCAGCCTGCAGGATGGAGGAGATGGCTGGTGGGAGTGACAGGTAGGGGTCCATCACCTGTTGATTCTCCAGGCAGTCAGGCTGAGACTCCTGACATTGGGGTGAAGCACATGACCGCTGTCCTGCAAGAGCATGTTGTGGTGGAGCACTAGATGAAGGAAGGTCCTGAAGTACAGGAGGAGTGGGAGCGCAGTTGCTTGGGCCATTATGGGATTATGAGGACACAGTTCATCCTGTCCCTCTGGATTTTGGAGACCACCTTGGTGAGCAGGGGAAAAGGAAGGTACAGAACAGGGCCCCCTCCCATTTCAGGAGGAATGCGTCCCCAAGGGAGCCAGTCCCTCATCGTGCCTTGGAGCAGAAGACATAGCATTTGGAGTTTTGGGGCTTGGAAAACAGGTCCATCTTGGGCGTGCCCCACCTGTCGCACAGGTCCCAGGGGACTGTGCTGTTGAGCTCCAACTGGTGTGCTGCCGAGGCGGCTCAGCTCAGGGTGTCAGCCAGGGTGTTGAACTGGCCTACCACTTGGGTGGCCATGATGGAGACCTCCCTCACTACACACAGATGGTGAATGTCAGGGCAGTGATGGGGAGGATCGTGTGCTGCCCTGCTTGTTCGGGTAGTACATTACAGTGGTGTTGTTCATCATGATTGTACATGGTGGCCTCTCAGGGTGTCCTGAAAGGAGACCAGGGCTTTGTGCATGGCTAACATCTCCAGGAGGCTGATGTGCAGCTGTGCCTGGTGGCAGTCCCATAGGCCCGGTGCACCACAGTGTGTGCCACAGCTTGTGTTTGAGGTATCTGTAGTGACAGTCACTGTGGGTTCGGGCAGGGTGCAGTGAACCCCAGTTGTGAGGTTGTGCATGGTGGGCCTGACTGGTGGTGGGGGTGACAGCATGGGGGTGTGGGGATCCTCGTCTGCAGACCCAGAGCGGGAGGGATCTCATGGGGAGGTGGGCAAAGCACACTGCAGGCACCGTGGTGGCCATGAGGCCCGGGAGCCCCTGGATGGTGTGTGCTGCTGAGTGGGTCACAGTCCTGCTGGACAGGGCCAGTGCCCTGAGGCTCTCTGCTCTCAGCTGTGGGAGAAACACTTCGGGGGCTGCAGAGTCCAGGTGAGCCCCTGCGAGCAGGATGGACGGGGGGGAGAGGGCAGGCTCGTTGTGACTGATCAGGAGCCCCAGATCCAACAGGAGGGTGCAAGTGGTGTGCACGGCATGCAGCAGGTCAGTCTTCAGGCATGAGGGCAGCAGTGGGCATCAGAGAAGTTGGGTGGTCTGCGGCAGGTGCGCTCAGCGTCAGTGCGTGGCTGGCATGGGGTGAGACTGGCAGGATCCCAGTGGTGGCTATCATCACAGCATAAGCACTGCAGCATCGGAGTCATCCACTGCCCTGTGGTGGACTCTTCAGTGGGAGATGAGAGTGGCAGGCAAGCCGGCTGAGTGGCTGGAGAGATCCAGCAGTTTTTCCAGGCAGGTGGAAGCTGGGGACAATGTGGAATTGCTGCCCTAGTCGAGAAGGGTTGAGCGGGGTGAGTCCCGGTGTCCCCTGGCTGGAGAGCAAAGTGGGTGGGCTCACGTGGTGGAATAAGGGCATGCTGCCTAGAGGTTGTGGATGTTAGCAGCACACAAGGGAAGAGTATCTAGTCCGGGGGCAGGTGCAGGGGCCTGGTGTTTCAATCCTGGGAATGATGGGGTACTGGTCAGAAGGATTCTGGGGTCCAGTGTAGGTGGGTGGCTGCCAGAGCTGGGGAGCTGGTTGCCGACAAAGTGGGCGGGCGAGGGGTCATGCGGCGCCTTTTCTTATGAGGGGCAGCAGTCTTGACCCCAGCTGGTCCCTCTTTGTTTGAGCCAGTGGGCATTTTTCCAGGCCTCTTCCCTGGCCTCGTGCTCTTGCCGCCCACAGACGTGGAGGGCCCCTCCGCATACAGCTTGGATGAGTGGGCCATGCAGAGGGGCCAATTTCAGGTGGTCAGGCAGCTGCTGGCATGTCTGTTTTTTGAAGGCCTGGCAGCGCAGTTAAGTCTTGACAGCATGTCCCCTGCCAAGGCAGAGTAGGCAGAAAGAGCGGCTGTCTGCTGAGGGCAGGCAGGCTGAATGCGAGGTGCAGCTGCAGAAGGCCAGGTCGGAGGCCACTGAGGGAAAAAAGGAAACTAGCAATCTGGGGGGAAAGAAGTGGAGAAATGGATCTTTCTTTCTTATTTTAAGGAAAACTGGAGGAAAAGGCAAACAAAAATAAAGGAATGAAAACAAAGGTAGTACTTTCAAGTGCGCCGGGGGGGGGGGGTCCTCCAGGCGATGTAAGGTCAAAAGGAAACTGAGGGGCTAGACAGGATCCCCCGGCCCCCCTTTATAACTGGGAACCAGAAGGGGCAGAGGGCTACCACCCTCTCTGTGACACTAAGCTGTAGAAGTTTCTTTGTAATATAAAACTTGAACTGGCATGAAAGCCCACATGTATAATGCACAGAGACCACAAAGAACTACAATTCTCATGTGCCCCATAGTCAGGGACTATGGGAACTGGAATTCAGTTACACTGGAAGAGCTGTTGGTTTCCCAACGCAGATTTAAACTATGTTTGTGGGATTCTGGAAGCCATAACTATTTATTAGTATTGAGGTACCTTAAGTTCCACTTCATTTAAAAGCTGTTTACCACTGTTGTCAATGAATATTGATACCTACTATGTGGCCCAGCTGAGAGAACAGTTCACAGTGAGGCGCTGTAAGGTGTATGTTGTGAGATCAAGAACAGGGCTCTGGCTCACACATCACTCTTGAAGTTGGGAGAAAGCACTGAGCCAATGTATCATTTATGTTAGTATTTTTACTTACTTCAAAAAATGGAAGTCTTGCCCAAATGAAAAAAAGGGACCACAAGCTTGCATAAGGAAAATAGAAGCAATCAGAGAAGCAAGGAAACAGTTTGAAGAGCATACCACTAAGAATATCAATGCCAATAATAAAGAATTCTTTAAATGTATCAAGATAATGAAAGTAGCTAAAGAACCAGTTGGACAATAATGGAATTAAAGGAGCCCTAAGAGCGGATGAGGAGAGAAGAGATTGCAGAGAAGCTGAATGTATTTCTTTTATCAGTCTTCACAGCAGAGGATGCAGGGCAGAGGTGCCTGTTCCTGAGCTTCTGCAGTGAAGGGAGTCTGAGGAATCAAGGCAGATAGCAGACACAAAAGATGAAAATCTCGACCTTATTGACAAATTGAGAGTCAGCAAATCTGGATGGTATTCATCCTAGAGTTTTCAAAGAACTCAAAACATGAAATTGCAGACCTTCTTACCAAAGTTTTTAATATGTCCTTAAAATCAGCCCCTGTGCCAGAAGATTGGAGAATGGCCAATGTAGCAACAATTCTATAAGTGGGATCCAGGAGGGATATGGGAAGTTATAGGTCAGTTAGTTTAACATCTGTTCTAGGTAAACTGCTGGGAAGCATTATTAAAGATAGAATCAATAAGCAAATAGAGGGACAAGCCATGTTGAAAAAAAATCAGGATGGCTTCCACAAGGGGAAGTCTTATCTCACTAACCTATTGGAATTCGTTGAAAGTATCAATAGGCGAACAGACAGGGATGATCCAGTAGACATTGTTTACTTGGCTTTCCAAAGGGTTTTTGATGAACTCCCTCACCAAAAGTTCCTAAATTGTCACGGAATTAAAAAAAAGAGGGGTCCTCTTATGGATCACTAACTGGTTAACAAAAAGAAGGCAGAGGGTTGGAATAAATAGCAATTTCTTCCAGTGGAGAGATGCAACCAGTGGAGTCCCACAGGATTCTGTATTAGACCCAATGCTTTCCAACCTTTTCATACATCATCTGGAATTAGAAGTAAGTAGTGAAGTGGCCAAGTATGCAGATGACACCAAACTATTTAGAATAATTAAAACCAAAAGGGATTGTGAGGCACTCCAAAGGGATGTCTCCAAGATGAGGAAATTGGCATCAAAATAGCAAATGCAGTTCAGTATAAGCAAATGTAAGGTAATGCATGTTGGTGCAAAGTGTTTCCCACCTTCAAGTATATGCTGATCTAGCTAGCGGTATATGCTGAACTGAGCTAGCATAGCAGTGACCAAGCACGGCATGTGTGATACACAGAGACCACAAAGAAGAATGGACAGAAATTAAAGCAGTCCATTTGTAGAAAGTATGTTCCTTCCCCTCAAAAAATCTGTCTTCCTTCTGCTAAGGGAACTGCAATTCTTACCTTATCGTAGTACCCAGAGTGCCACATTTATTGTAAGTGAAAGGAGCTACTACACAACCAACTACTATTCGGTGTGTAACTGAAAAACAAACATACCGATGTGATTACTTCAAGATCTTTCAAGTAAGTTCGTTCTGTGGTAGAAACTTCTTTAGCAATGAAGTATGCTTTGTCAGTTGGAAACCTCTGAAAATGACAAGAAAGAGAAACCTGTGTTGATATTTAGTCAATGGGCAAACTTTCACTTTACTATTAAGAGCTAGTGCTTGCAAAGTTCTAGAGAATTTTAAAAAACCTTGTCTAATATTGATGAATCAGTAGTTACTTCATCTCCTCAGTCTTTGCTGGGGTTGTGGGCATGTGAAAGGTGAACTGTTTGCAGAAGCCCTGTTGGCCCATGCCAGCCAGGGTGGGAGAAGTGACTGTGATGGACTTCTCTGAGTGACAGTTCTTTTAAAAACTATTTCCTGCCAAAAGCCAGTCTTTTCCTGCATCTTACAAGCAGATCAAGATCTTATAAGCTTCTAACCTTAAACAAGGCCAGCTGAGCTGCCTCTGTGATACAAATGATAACAAGTAAATCTAGAAAACAGCTATTAGGGAAATGGGTACCAAACTGAATCCTGTTTGCTGGCAAGTTAGACCTCTACATCCAGGGAGCTTTATATATGGTGCTTTCATAATATGAATCTACATGTTTGGTCAGAACAGTGCAGTCCAACAAGAGTGGTAGCACAAGGTCCTGTTGAGTGTGCAGTTCAGCATCAAACAATCAGAGGAAGAATCCTCCTATGTGCCTGCCCACCCCTTAATATCTGTGTTGGAGGTCTTTCTTTGGGAGCCCTCCTTGAAGGAGATTAGGAAAATGGCTACCTGGAGAAGGGCCTTCTCTGCAGTGGTGCCCCAGCAGTGAAATATGGTCCCCAGAGAGGTACACCTGGCCCCAACACCAATTAACCTTTCTTAATTTCCCAAATATTTTAAGGATCAATTGCTATTTTAATTGGCATTTTATAGAGAATGTGATGATGTGCTTTTTTATTTTCATTTGATTTTGTATGACCCATCCTGTGACTTTTTGTAATAGGATGGGACAGAAAAGCATTAAATATATAAATAAATACCTGCTATCAAGTTCAGCCCAGCTCCGAGGAAAGCAGCAGTGCCACAGACAAAAGATCTGAGGCAGATACAGCATCCGCTGCTTGTGGATCATTGTTCACAGTGACAAAAGCTTGACAGGCAGCAGCAGCAGCACATTCTAATTCAGCTCTCATCCCCACAACCCGATGCTTTAAAGTAAAGCAAAAGCAACACTCTGTGCACAAAGTAGCACAGACCATCATCACCATGCCGCCCTTGGCCTAACTTCCAAAGCTCTATAGAAGGGATCATCTCAGGAATGTCCCTCCCTTAGCATAGCCCTAGGTGGAGGCAAGAACAGGGGTGGGAATGAGAAAGGGAGTGGTGGAGAAAGGAAGTGAGACCCAGAAAAGACTTTTAGGGACAGAAAATGGAGTGACCACCCACTATTGGTTTTCTTCCCATCCAGGCTAACTTGCATCCACCAAAACAGAACACACTCCAATGGAGCAAAGCTCAGGGAGCCAAGGTTCCGTTTGGATGCCAGGAAGCACTTCCTGACAGTCAGGACCCCGAGGGTGTGGAATGGGCTTCCACGAGAGGTCGTTGAGGGGTGCGGGTGTTCAAGGATAGGCTGGATGTCCACATGGTGGGCATGTCATGAGCGGAGCCGGCTGGTGCCAGAGGTCAGACTAAATGGCCCGGGAGACCCCTTCTGACTCGCTCTGTTTTCTATGTTTCTATGTTTTCTATGTTTCTAAACTTACTCCCAAAGGGATGCAGCCTGCAACATCAAAAAAGGTTCTTCTGTCCAAATGTAATGAAAGGGCCGTATGTGTCCGATCTATCATGGTAGGCATGTCATGAGTGGAGCTGGCTGGGGATCAGACTAGATGGCCCAGGAGGCCCCTTCTGAATCACTCTGTTTCTATATGGAGTTCCTAGTAACCCATGGGGGTTCAACTGAGTGTAGCAGAAGAAAAATAATCACTAGAGTTCAAATCCTAGATAATCTATGCATTATCATAACCAGTACCTTTTTCCTGACCTCTTCTTCATCATCAGTTCGAACACCAGTTTGTTCATTCAGCACAGGACTGACCAATGGAGAAGCTTGCCTGTTATCGGGACTCAAGTTAGGAGATAAGGTTGTATTTGCCATGCCTGGTCCACCTTGGGAATTGATTGAGAGTTCTGAAAGATGAGGGCTGCCAGCAAGAGAACCTGCTGAAGGAACAACAAAGTGAAATTCAGAAATATTACTCTTGCCATATATGAAAGTTACCTGCCAAGATGTTCATCCTATTCAACTGGACATGGCTCCATCAAGTTCAATGGAGCCATGACCACTTAAAAGGGTTAAGACAATTTGTTTTGAGACAATTTCTCTGAAAACCTATTTTGAATAAACATTTATGTGCATAAAGAACTAGACTGAATAAGATCCACACTGCATATGGCAATGGGGAAAAAGCTGTCTGCTTGTTTCATCAGTGGCTGCCTTTCTCACAATTGATGGATTGAGTCAAGACAGCTTTAGACAATATTGCATAACAGCTATGGTGAATGTATGAGGTCTTACTCAACAAATACTTCGTGGTAGACACAGGACAGTTCAGATATCACAACAAACTATGGTCTTTCCTTTCTCCCTTTTCCCTCTTCCAGGCACAACAGAAAGGATTGATGCTTCTGCTTCTTGCAATTTTGAATAAACCAGTGTTTCCTACTATGTGTGAATATTCTAACCACAAATTAGGCTCAAACTGCCCTTTGAGATCCTGGTTGGGTAATTAGCTGTGGTTAGTAGCAACCAAACTTTTGTGTATTTGGAGTTAATGGAAAACTCATGACCAGAAGCTTTAAGCTCCCTCCTTTCTGGTACAAAAGAGGGAAGAGGAAGAAGGTGCACAAGAGCTCCAGGCTCACAACTATATAACACTAAATCATGGTTTAAGACTGCATCTATACTGGACCACAAGATGCTGCAGTCAGTTCAAAATAGTAACTTTAGTAAATGGATTCAAAAAGGTGCAACATTTCCATCGGTTAATATTAATGCCCAATATACAGTCCTCAAAGGAACAGAGACTGTGTCCCTGTTTGGACTTTACTCCACTCCCACCCCAACACTGCTATGCATTGAAAGCCAGGCAAACAGTCACAAGACTTTCGCCTTTCCTCGTGGCCCTACTTCCCCACATCTGCTTTCCTTTTTTTGGCAGTGCTGGATCTCCCTCACCACCTGATCTATCCCTGGAAAAGATGGGGAAGGTTTCAGTTGGTTAAGAAAATCTCATATTCAGATAATATGGATTATTTCACTTTCTATGCATTGTGAGAAAGGTAGGGAAGAACCACTTGCTTACCCTGCTTAAAGTTGTGTGGGAGGGAGGAATAATGTCCAAAGAGGACTTCTGCCAAAACGGTTAATTTTTAATACATAATAAGTGTCAAAGCAAAAAGAATTACCATATTATTACTGAGCTGGTTTTTTTTCACCCTCCTACAAACTTAAACTCCAGAATTGCAACTCATTAAGACAGTTTTCCCAGGGTGCTAAAGAAAGACATTAGAAAGAACAGAGTCTAAGGGAGCTATGTAGAAGCCACATCTAGAACGAAGGGAAGAAACTACTTAGGCCTTCTGGCTACATACAACAGAAGTAAGTACAGTGTACCTTGTTGAGTACCTCCATGCTCCTCTGATTGTTTGGGGTGCAAATGCTAGCATTACATCCACATAAAATGAGTTATTTTAAAAGCATGTAATAGGACAACTTCAAACATTCACAATTATCAAGGCTCGTTCAATTCATAAAACAAGTGTACAACAGCCACCAAGTACTTCGTGTGAAATACAGTGATGAGAATTGCTTTCAACTCTGTCCCCCTTTCCTAGAAGATAGTTACTGACACTGAAAAAGCAGAACATAAAAACCTACAGCTGTGTTTTTGTAATGAAAACTGCAATTAAGTCTATGTGCTCTATATATTTCCAGCTATATATATTTTTACCCTGTGCTTTTTCTTATGTTCCAAAATGATTAATTCTGAAGAATGCATTTTCTGCCAGTGAATTCAACTAACAATATCCAGAGTTAAAATGCACTGGGCATGCCTGCCTGCAGTGCTACTTGCTTAAAATGGAAGGTTCTTTTCTTGCAAACACGTTTATAAGTTTCATCAGCAAATGATCTTGGAAACACAAGTGAAATGTGGCATACTACTGAACATCTACACAAAGAGTGTGAGTTATATTTATTTTTCAGTAAGACCTTATATGTATCAATCTAAGTTACCTCAGTGGGATTCATATTTACCCCATTATCTTTATCAGCACCAAACTCAATTTTATATTCTCACCAAGCTATTCAATACTGCACCTTATGATTATGTAAAGAAAACAAGTTATTTGCCTGAAAGGGGGAGGGGGTGTCCCTTAACGAAATATATTTGCCCACAATCCCATGCTAAATAGATACTCAGGAAAATCTGAGAGAAAAGTCAAAGCTTGTTACACAAATGTCAGTTTTATTGACACTAGTTACACAACTGTATACAATGATTTCATAATAAAGTTAATGCAATTATAAGAAAAAAAGAATGGGAAAGACCCTTAGACTTGAAATTATACTTTCTAAGTCTGATACTAGTAAACTATGTTTACAAAAGACCTATAGGAATTATGTTATAACCTAAAAATATGAAGTAAAAATACAGAAATTCTGGCACTGTGCTTGTCCCATGACAGAACAGAAGATGAGTCTTTGTGTGAATAATGCCTACTTAGTCATAAGGATTTCAACCAAAGTCTATAATTTTTACAAGCAGGCCAGAGTTAATCAAAGGAAGTGGCAGATATAAGTGGCCAGTACCATTTTTATTTATCTAAACCACAGTCATCAACTGCTGCTGAGAATTTGCCATGAGTCAGGAATGGCTTCATTCAGAAGCCTGGTTTCAGAGGCTTGTAAAGCCTCACATAATCACCTGCACTCATGGGAGCCTGACACTTTACAGACGTAGTTGAAGTTAAATTAAGGATAGGTATATATTAGCTATCTGAATCCAATCTCTACTGATTTTTTTTTTGGGGGGGGAGGGGGGAATCATAGCAAGCCAAATCAGAAGATTCAATTTTCTTGAATGTATTTAATTAAGGGTACCCAGTGAACAGCACATGTATCCAAACTGTGTTTCCAGAGGCTCAATATATTTATCACTTGTAAACATATCAGGAATAGGGAGAATAAGCAAATATAAAACTCAGATAAAGTTAACATATTGATGAACGCAATCAGAACTTAAAGGACTCTTGAAGTTCAAAGGCTAGACACTAAAATGTATAAAAGAGTTCAACTTATTTCGCTATCTTGATTCAACTTAAAATTAGCACTGCTTGTCTTTTAAGCACTGCTATATTTTTGTACTTTGTGTGTTAAGCCAATGCAACTGCTCTGTCACAAGGCCCTTTCCATATTTAGTTCCACATGTACCATGTGCTATATTCAAAAAAAGCCCTGCAACTAGGAGACGTGAGAGGAAGACCCTATGCTTAACAGGAACAGCCAGGCGTTGCTCCAACTTTGACAACTCCTACCTAGTGGTGAATGCTTTTAGAAAGCACAGTATTACCATATATCATATTGGATAATTTGATGTTTACAACTTCTTTTTCCTTTTTTTTGGGTAGGGAAATACACCATACAATGGGCATTATTTTCATACAATACAATAATCTCCCTGTAGAAAACAAATAACATTTCAAATGGCTCCAAGAACAATAGCTAAATTTTCAGATTTGGCATTCAAATAATTTAAATGCAAGATTTTCCTTGTAAGCAAGGAATTAAGGTTCCTTGCCAAGGAGTTAATGTTCCCTGGAACATCTCTTCCCCAAGCTTCATTTCCCCACATAAGCAAGATCTTATGGGATCCTCAGTTTTATATTGATTAACATTTAAATCCAAGTTCAGATGGCTAACCAACAGGTCTTCATCTAGAGAAGAAGAATCCCATTATTTTTAAGCCTACATTATGGACTTAATATGTGATTTCCAGGTGGATAAAGCACTCCTAAGGATTTGGAGATTATTAAAAAAAAGTTTCAAATAAGGTTAATATTTCCCTTAGGCTTGTATAACTCAGCAATTTGCATGATTCCAGTTGAACAAGGTTACCTTAAACATTCCTAGATTGTGCTTACTTTGGATCTTATACATGTTTAAATACAAGTTATTTCAAATTTTACATGGTATATAATAGAATCTGAAAGGGAAATGCTTCCAAATCAAATCACTGCACTGCATATTTCTAACACTTTTAAGCAGAGTGCAAAGAGTAATTTTAGCTATCAGTCATGCATATAATTTGGCTGTAGAACCTGAAAATCAAGCTCTGTTTTTTTTCATCCCATACACCATATCAATAAAATTGGATTTTCTTCCATCAAAATCTGATATGTCAGTCCTGGGATGGCAGAAAAGCTTCCTATGGTTATCTTGGCTTCAGCATAATTATTTTTAATTCAAGAACATTTAATGTTGAAAATAGATAACATATTCGAATACAAATGGAGAGCAGTTACATTCAGTAAGAATGTGCTAAGAGTAATGCAGCGCTAATGCAGCAAAACCAGCACTAAAAATAGAGATGTAGTGAATAAAAGGTACCCCTGGTGGTTGTAACTAATCAAAAAGTTATGATCATAGTCTCTTAATGAATCTCAATGTAGTTGGATCAGAATAAATTCCAAGTGTTTATTTCACAGAGAACCTTTCCCAGTTAATGAAATAGAATTCTGAAGGAATTATAATAGAAGAGAGAGGATTTATGGCTGGCGTGTGTGCCCCCACCCAAATTCCTTTCTTGGTCTCCTGCAAAGGCAGGCTTCAGGAAATGGATACATGTGTGTCCAGGGCAGATATGCATTCTGCCCCTGGATCAGGAGGACATGTATCTCTCCATGGAGAATCCTTCCTGAGACCCAGAAGCTGTGGGAGAAAGGAAAGCCCAAGTCACTCCTGCTTCCTTTTCACCACTTCCAAGTAAAATGTAGTGCCATGATTATTCTTGGGCAAGTATGCTGGGCAATATGCTACTAAAAGTAAGATGGAGTAAATTATTTCTAAGTGAGCATCCTCAAGTGTAATAAGAATTCATGATAAAAACAATAATTCAATTCCAGCAAAGGTAAGGGATAAAGACGACCTTGCCCTCAGATAA